ATATTTGCCAGCTGCTGCGCAGAGGGTTCCCTGAGCCAGGTGTGCGAAAAATGCAAAAAAAAAACAGGCTAATTTCAACAACTTGCTCCGCATGAGCCGTATGCCTTCCTAAAAAGGGTTTAGGGTTTAGGGTTTAGGGTTTAGGGTTTAGGGTGGCTCGGGAAAAAACCTGCTTCTTTCCTAAGCCAAGTTGCGAGCTCGACGCCGAGAGGCGATCAATGGAAGCTGTCCTGGCCACGGAAGGCAGGCTCGATGCAGACCAAGCATCTGGTTGAGAGCCGTAATGTAAGTACTAGAAATCATAATCATAATAATACTAATCATAATATTCCTAATAGTATTATGAATGATAACATTAATTACAATATTCGATATTGTTAATAATACGAAGAATGATAAGAATGCTAGAATTCAGACTGTCTTGTGGTAGGAGGCCTGCGTTGCTCAGCATGCTGCAATACTAAGGACGAAAATTGCTCTAAGTTCGACCACACCACATCTACCACCATGTGAGTCCTGGTCTAAACGCCTAGCATCTGGCATTTACCTGAAGACATGCGAGAAACCCTAAACCCTAAACTCCAAGATCCTGGGACAGATGTCTGGACTGCGCTAGCTGGGAGGAGTTCTCAGTACAGAATGGGCGAATATATTACATAAGGATTTTTTCGGGACCATAGGCCCTTATCCCCAACCCTAAACCCCAAACCCTAAGCCCTAAGCCCTAAACCCTAAATCCTAAATCCTAAACCCTATAACATTCCCTTATTCCCTACTAAGAACCAGTAAGTTGAAAGAGGCAAGGCTCGACGTCTGGGGCATGGCCAATGCTCAGACAAGGTTGGAAGGCTCCTCAACTTGCTGGCTGTTAGTACCGAATAAGGGAATAGATTCCCTATATAGTATAGGGTTTAGGGTTTAGGGTTTCGGGTTTAGGGCTTCGGGTTTACGGTTTCGGATTTAGGGTTTAGGGTTTAGGGTAGGGAATAAGGGCATATAATCCCTATCTAGTCCTGTATAATATATTCCCTACTAAGCACCAGTAAGTCGGCCCACTTGGAGACTAGAGGAGATCCTACGAAGGCTGGCAACTCTCTTGCGGAGGCTATTCTTGCTGGCCCCTTGAATGTAGTAATATAGGGGTTATATAGGGGTTTTATTGGGGTTATATTGGTGTTTTATGGCAGTTGTATTGGGGTTATATTGGGATAATGGAAAAGAAAATGGAAACTACTATTTAGGGTGTAGGGCTTGGATTGTTTCCTATCTGGCGGTTGTTTTCTATATGCTGTGACGGCCCTGGTGCTTGGATCTGTGCCGGTTACTTGATCTTGTGCGAAGAGGTTTCTCGTTTTATGCGGACGCTTGCGCAAGCACTTGGATTTTCGCTGGCAGTTCCTTGACTTTATGCTACCCCACCTTCGAGAAACTATGAAAACGAGGGCAAAGCCTTCAACCTCTACATCCTGTCCCACTCCCGCCGACCCCGTACACCATCAACTAATCCAAGCCCTACACCCTAAATAGTAGTTTCCATTTTCTTTTCCATTATCCCAATATAACCCCAATACAACTGCCATAAAACCCCAATATAACCCCAATAAAACCCCAATATTACTATTCAACATCCCTCAGCCCCTCCTGAGGCTGCAGGCAGCTGGAGGCCCCTTGCTCTGCAGTCGCCCCAAGCAGAGATTCCTGGGTTTAGGGTTTAGGGGCTGTTAAGGCACCTAACTTAAGTTAATATATCGGGGACACCCTATTGCTTGCTATATATACCCATTATGGTAACCCTAAACGCTATACACGCTATACACCCTATATACCCTATAATACCCTATAATACCCTATATACCCTATGTCCCCTATATACCCTATATATACCCATTATAGTAGCTTGAATTAAATTCCTTAACACCTGGGTTGGGCCCTAAAACCCTTTGAAAAATATTAGTATATGGGGTCCCTTATTAAAGCCATTGGGGAAAATATTAGGGGCCTACCCAGACAGCAACCCAGACTCCGCTTGGTGCCAAGGAGTCGCAGGGGCCCAGGCCGCATTGGCCAAGGCCTGCAAAGGAGCTTAGGCTGACGGTGTCCGTGCTCTGCTCAAAAGGTTTAGGGTTTTAGGGTTTAGGGTTTTAAGGTTTAGGGTTTAGGGTTTTAGGGTTTAGGGAATTTCAGAAAATATATTAATGGATATTAAGGTATGTTATAGTATATTGGAGTATATTAAAGTATATTATAGTATATTCTAGTATCTTATAGTATATCAAGACTCTTGTAATTTCAGAACGTATAAACAGTAAACTATGGTAATTATACTATATTCTAGTATAAATATATATATATATCAAGATTCTTGTAATTCCAGAGAGTATATTACAGTATGGTCTAGTCTGCTGTAGTATATTATAGTATATGATAGTATATTGTAGATTATTATAATATATTACAGTAGATCATGTAATTTTCATAGGAGATTTCAGGGCTGCTCACACTAGCTAAAGATGTGGCACACTTTCAGGTCCAACATCCCACTGTGTTTCTTGGTATCGCGCCTGGGGCGTGAGCTGTGTCAAGACCTCCAGGCATGCATCAGCCATCCTTGAGTTTTAGGGCTTTAGGGCTTTTAGGATTTTAGGGCTTAGGGCTTTAAGGTTTTAGGGAATTTAGGGCTTTAGGGTTGTTGGGTTTTAGGGTGATAGGGTTTTAGGGTTTTAGGGTGCTAGGGTTTTAGGGATTAGGGTTTGACTTTGCAGCAGCCCCTAGTGACAACATGGCAAAGCAACCAGCAAAATTCCAGTTGCCAGCTCAAAACCTTAAACCCTAAACCCCTAAACCAGAACCCGAAACCTTAATCCTCGTAGCACAAGTTCTTGTAGTAGCTTAAATAACTGGGATCACAATATGGACTCCAAAATATTATCATAACCCTTAGTATGGGGAACCCCAAACTCGTAGCCCTAATTTTTGGAAACCCCAATCCCCTGTAAACCCACATATGATCTCAGCATCCGATTTGCTTTCCATGTCCTCTTCCATGTCTTTCCAATTTAGTGTGGTACTATCCCTATGGAACTATAACCCCCAAACCCCAAACCCCGAACTCTAGACCCAGAACCCTAAATCCTAGACCTAATACCCCCTTCCAAGGGACCTGGGCAGATGTATTTTCCCTATATTGACCCTATATACCCCCTTTAAAGGGACCCTGGAAGATTCAGAACTCCCATGTCTCACCGAGAGGCATGCCCAAGAGCGCCACGTCACGCAAGGCTGGCTTTGCAGGGTCTGCCAGGGAGAGATGCTCAGCAAAAGCTACTACGTTGTTTCTGTATTATAGCAATGTGACTTTTTTGTTTGAATGATCTTACAAAAGAACAATGAGACTGATTCCGGTCCGGTGCTTCTTTTGATCAAAGCATACAAACTAGCCACTCTACATCTCACTATCACCCACGACTCTTGCGGACTGATTGCGCTTTCAGAAGCCAATGTGAAGTGAAAATACTGCGCCAACAACAGGACTTGTCTCTCGCACCTACATGTCTTTTGCTTTCTTCGGCCGAACCTTGAGCTGTGTTGCTCAAGCCTTGCGGCGAAAAGCCTGCAAGGCCTGCCGCAGCTGCTACAGCTGGTGCCGTCATTGAAGATGGGTGCAGCCACTCAGCCGCAGCCACTCTCTGCGCCATGTTCCAAGGGCTCTGCGGTGCAAGTTCATTCAAACGTGCCTCTCCCGCCGATGAGGTTGCTCTCAACAATAGTTCCTCCTTGTGCTGCGAAGTGCCGACTCACCAAGCTATGCCAGAAAGCTCACGATGCCCAAGTTCCCCTATTCACGCGTGTGAGCGATCAAGAACGGCAGCTGGAAAGGCACCGCCAGATTGCAGGGCCGTGCCAGAGGTCTACGCCATAGCTGTGAGCTCCTTGCAAAGCAACGTCTTACACACTGAAGCTGCATGCTACGGCATGAATGCCTCGGTACATGCAAGCTTGGAGCATGTCCTGGGCATCCATTTCAGCAGCCCGAAGTGTGGCGTGCTCGGAAGTCAGCTGCCACGGCGCAGCACCGTGCTGATGGAGATTTGTGGAAGCCCATGCCGTGCTGGCAGGCTACACTGCGTTGGACTCTGTCATTCTAGTCAGCAGAACTGCCTATGAAGCAACCAGTGGCAAGGCATCACAAGCGCAAGGTGTCCACAACCTCCACACAATGTTGGAGAGGCCCCGAGGCTCTGGATCTGGACCAATGCTAGCACCCACTCGCTGGAGCAACCTTGCAAGGCTAGGGGTCTTGCAGCTCGCCTTCATGGACGAAACTATTGGATTGGCTTCTTCAAACTCGTGGCCTATGAAATCGCGGATCTTGCATCACAGATCTGGCCCGGATTTGCACAAGAGCTCCACTTGCTGCCACCTACACACCGAGGACACCTGTGAGACCTGCAATGTCAGGGTCAACATATCGAGCAGCTCACATCGAGATAAGGCAGCGCATCAAATCCTACATCGCCCATCTGGGCTCCTCCGAAGGTATCGTCTAGTAGGCAATTAACTTAAAACATACTGGCTGTCTTACTGCACTTGAACAGGCGCAGGCACCAGGCACGAAGCGAGCTCTCGCAGCCCCAAGGGTACCACGGAGAGCTGCAGACGGCATCGGCAAGGAGGGCCATGAAGCAATGAAGCAACTTAGCTATGCCTGCATGTGCTCAGCCTCCCACACTTAGCAGAAACACTAACGTCAAAACAGAACCTTTGCGTTAGCTTTGGATGCTTCACGTGCAGATGCACTTTGGCGTAACTACAAGTGCTCTGTCAAGAAGTTTCATGAAGGTGTCACGCTGTGAAGCTTTCGGCTTGCCGGTCATTGCACGCATGTTCCGGGGCTGTCTTGCATGACGCCAAACCTGCTGTGTGCACCAGGTGGTCCTGGATGTAGTCCTCCTTCTGTGCTTGGCAGCACACCCACAGCAGAGTTGCCATGTCGCTGAGCATCACAAAGTCACCGGCAAAGGCAACATCTCCTGAGATGCAGGTGGCAAGTGTGCGACAGGAGGCCCCCACTCACACTCTGAGCGTGTCTGAGCAGGGCCCACAACTTCCGGCAAACAACTAAAGAAACAACACAACCCAAAATCTGAACAGCAGCGTTTCGGGTCACGAAAGAAAGACTTTTCTGCAAAGCAGAGCATCATACCCTTCTGGCAGTTCTTCTCCGCCTTTCCGGATGAACTCTCCTTAATGTGCATGACTTAGAAAAAGGGAATTTGGATGCTGGGTTGTCTGAATTGTAGTCCTCGTTTTTGCCCCTATAAGGATGCTGCCCTTAACGTCTAGTCTAACCTTTCATGTTGCCATTCTGCAAGCATTGCTCAGGATCTCTAAAATACAAACATGTACAGCGATCCCTCCGCTTGATACTAAATAGGGTGCCCCTCCCAAAAATTAGGGGTACCATTAACGAGCTTATAGAGGGATATCTAGGGATAAAGGTTTAGGGATATGTAGGGACTTTGGCTTCCCAAAATAAATGGTACCGTTTCCTATAATGAGGATTCCAGTGTTTGGGGGTCTGTCTCGGGATCCCCCTGTTAAAGGAAGCTACCATATATGCTTTAAGACTTCAGGGCACATTTAATAACATGAGATGGGGGGTGTCTAATCTTAGGGGGAATGGACTAGGTGGACCCCCACCCAGTAATACTGTCAAGAAGGGATCATAAGGATTATATTAGGGCCCTCTTGTATTCCGATTCTACCACTATTAGAGGGTGGGGAGATCCCTAAGATCCCTAAACCTTAAACCCTAAACCCTAAATCCTAAACCCTAAACCCTAAATCCTAAACCCTAAACCCTAAACCCTAGGATGTTGGGGCTTTCTGATCTGCATCGATGGTCGCAAGGCAGCCCTCTCATCTGCATCCAACTCCGGATGCCATGCACGGGTCAACAGCAGCAGCCGTGGCAGCTTTCGATCATCTGGGGCTTGAAGGTTTGGGGGTTTAGGGTTTAGGGATAGGGTTTGGGGTTTAGGGTTTAGGTGTGGGAAGAATGAAGGAACATTTCAAGGCCCCGAATCCTGGCACCAAGTGGAGAGCTGGGCAATTGGGGCGAGGGTGTCGAGTAGCTCTGAATCATTCGAGGGGCAGTCAGGATTGAGCGGGAAGCTGAAAACTAAAACTTCGATAAGATGCCACGAAAACCAACATATAGATTTGATTTCAGTGACACTTACCACTGCCGCCCTGATATCAACATGACATCAGGACTCCAGCCAGCAGGAAAAAGGCGTTGCAGCAACATCATGCAAAGGAACCAAATACTAGTAATACAAAGCAATAATTGGAAGAAGAACACTAATGGGAGCAATAGCAACAGTAACAATAGTAGTAACAGTAACGGCAATACACAGCCCACACCAGCACACAACCCGACGGTAAGTTAAAATACCGGACTACTTTCGTCTGTGCTTCTCATGGTAAGGGTTCAGGGTTTACAGTCTAGAGTGGTTGCGCGCAAGGTAAACCTGCTACCGCACTGTATTCTGAACTGCAATAGGCCCTAAGCCCATGCGTTTTAAGCGCTGCAAAACAAAACCTTAAAGCTCACAGGCAACGTGATGCATTATAGACTCTAATGCAAGAATCTTAACCAAATCCTAGACCCTAAACCCTAAACCCTAAACCCCAAACCCTAGACCCTAAACCCTAAACCCTAAACCCTAGACCTCAAGCCAACAATAGGAAGCCGGGCCTGGCACGGGACTTGTCGAAGTCGCTCCTGGCAAGTCTAGACCCCCTAAGCTCGGATAGACTTAGGGTGTAGGGCTTAGGGTCTAAGGTTTAGGGCTTTGGGCTTTAGGATTTAGGGCGTAGGTTTTAGGGCTTAGGGGATTAGGAGCTTATCGGACCATTTCTCGGCTTAGGGTTTTGGGTTCAAGGCCTAGGGGGATACACTTGAGGCCCCTTATTGTTCTAGTAATTTGTATTGATTACGCAGAGATTATGAGTCATCATGAATTTGAAAAGTCCTAGGAATATTCCAGCAAACAACAAGGATCATGAGATATGATGACTACCACGCCTTTCTTGCAATCGAAGTCACACAGACTGGACACTAGAACAGCTTGCAGGTCACTCTTGAAGCATCACAAGGGCAGCGTGGCGCCGGTCCGCATGGGAAATCAATGCTTCAACTTGAACTTTCACCATTCTTACTATTGTCATTTGTACCAGTAGTACGTTCATCACAAGTACCATTATCACTATTATGACCAGTATTCCTTCCTTCCTGGGCGCTACTGGGCGCCAGAGAGTCAAGTATTACTGTTGTTACTACTGCTACCATTATTACTACTATTCCAATTATGATTACTATTGTTACTACTATTGTTTTTCTATTTCTACTACTACCCTTGTTAGTATTACTATTTCCCCCAGGCAAGAGTCGGTAGCGCACAGCATGTGCGAAAGAGTCGTCAAAGACAAGAGTCTTGCCCAGCTTCCAAGAGACCTTGGTTGCCCTAATAGTATTAATTAAAAAGTTGTGAAAGTGTTAGTAATGACAATGATAGTCATGATAGTAACAGTAGCAATAATGAAATAACAGTACTACTTGTGATACTAGTGATGCTATAATAAACCTCTTTCGCTATCAGCACTGCACTGCAAGAATCCGCCCCAAGGGTCTTGAAAGAACTGGGTAGACGGGATTTCTTGGTAGCCGTAATGGCCAAGTTTCAACCTGCTCCTTAATAACACCTTTATGTAGACTTCCCACCTCTCAACTCCCCACCTGGAAATCCCTCAGACTTATGGCCAAGTTTCAACCTGCTCCTCCGGATGGGATTGTATCCTGCAAGGAGACATGCAAACTGCGAAATGATAGTAATAATAACAATAAGACGAATAGGATAATGGTAATGATAATAAAAACTATTGATAATGAATAGACATAAAAGAAATAATGGTAGTAATAATAGTAATACTGGTAAAATGTCAGAAATAATGAGAACAACAATAATATTAATGGTAATAGTAGTAATAATAACAATAGTAGCAATAATAGCAATAGTAGTAAGAATAACAGAGGTAATACGACTAGTAATGATGGTAATAGCAATGATACTCTGTAAACCCGACCGCACCCTGAATGGTGGTTTAAATAGGGTACCAACATGACTTTATAATAACAATAATTATGCTAAGAATATTAAGCATATAATGATAATAAGAAAATTCTACAAATTACTTCTAATAGTAATACTAAAATAATGAAAATAGCACAAAAAATCGAAGCTCTGGGAGGCGCTGGCTGGTTTTTCTAGGGTCGATGCTGGGTCTGGGGGGTCTAGGGCCTCCTCTGCGAGCGAGTTTCAGGAGGCCTGAGGCTCCCAAACCTGTCCCAGGGCCTCCCGGGCCTGTGGGGACCCTTGAACAGACCTTTAAAGCCTTTCAGGGCCTCGTTTCCAGGGTTTGCAGGGCGGCCTCGTATGGACCTAACTGAGTTTAGGTCCATGGCAGCACCTCGCATGCAACCNNGCAACCATGCACTTGAAGGATCATTGACACCTACTCATCACATCCTGCACGGCAACATCACAGCAAACCCTAAACCCTAACGCTAAACCCTGAATCCTAAGCCCTAAACCCTTTACCGGGCCTGTCATGCTCACTCTCTGGCAGAGAGCCACCGCGAGGAATAACAGCCAGCTCCGCTGCTTCATCTGACGGCAGCATCACCTAATGTAGACCCATGATTAACAAACCCATAAATACAGTCAGAGCTATATAGGGTGATTTAAGGCCTTTATGCGGATCATGGAAAAGAAAGAGGAAACTACTATTCAGGGTTCAGGGTTTAACGTAGACCCATGATTCATAAACCCCCTCCTTTCAAGGGCCTAAATATCAGGATCCCTATTATAATCCCTATTTAGGAGAGGGGGTTTCTTAATCAGGGGTCTGGGTTACTCTTGCCAGTCTTTTCACATTGCTTTGATTGGCACAGTTCGACACCCCATCAGCTGTCTGTCTGACAACTCGTAGCATCAAGACCTCTTTCTGGCACACAAGTACATTTCAGTGGGACATGCACGCGAAGTTACCAGCAAAGGTTGTGCTGCAATTCGGGCCAGATCGAAGGATTCATGCATGTGGGCTTCTCTTCGATGGGTAAATATTCTAGGTGGGTACCAGCCAAGGAACTGGTACATGATACGTCAGCTGGCCGTTGCTGTGGCCCTGGTGAAATGGCACCCAGCTGTCTGGCTCCAACACGCTCAAGAGAACATGGCTCCACGGGTTGGTCCAGATTTCCGGCGATGCCTCAACCAAACCTGCCGTGTCCCATCAAGAAGGTCAACAAAGCTTGGCTGAGCAACAGCGAAACCGGGTGCAGCGCCATTCTAATGCAAGTCATTTGTCAAATTTCGGACGAAGGCATAGCGCAAGCACCAAACCTGTAAATGTTGCAAACACAAGTGTACAGCAGATGAAAAGGATCCAACTTAAGGCACGGGACTGCAGACCACCCTGAAGTGCCGTTCGCACAGCTTCTTGTTGAAAGCGCGGCCACGCCAGAGTCTCACATCTACCCATGTCCCGTTGCCGGCAATGAGGCGATCGAAGCCTTTGTCAACATCTGTTGCAAACTCATGGACAGCACAGGTAGCTCTTAAAGCTCCACAGCCACTTTTAAATGCCTTGCGTAAACAAAGGCCACTTGCAGTGTGAAGCTGGTGATTTCGCCTACACACGATTGCTGTAGGGCTCATGCTCAGCCAAAAAAGCCTGCATGCAATGTCTAGTAACTAGTAGAAGGCAAAACTTCTCATCATAACGAGAATAATGGCGTAGTTCCACATACAAATCGAAATGCAGAGCCCCCAGCAGCAAGCTGTATGACATTTGCTGCTGTCCATAATCATGGAATCAAATAGTACCCACCTCTATACTACCCCCCCTAGGTTCCCCCCTTAATGAAGGATATTTAGGGATAGTTAAGCTTAAGTAAGGTTAATTAAGGGGGGAAGTTAGGGGGGGTAGTGACCCAAGACCATCTCAACAGTCCACAAGCCCGTCCTCTAAGGAACCAAGTTTCTCACCAAAACACGAGTCGTAATTCGGTTGAGTGGCGAGTTGTGTGCGCGCCAACACCTTTCAAGTGCTCCTGGCTGCAAGCGCACGCACTGTCTCTCCCTGCTGGCTTCCCAAACTGCAAGCCCCAACGTTGCTCAAAAAGAGCGACTTCGAACAAGAAAAGCAGGCACCCTGCAGGAGGGAACACAGGAAGCATGCAAGGGCTAGCCTGCATGCCATGTAAATAAATAATGGCCCATGTAGAGCACTAGGCGCTTCGCACTGCAGGAGAACCCTGTGCATGGGATACCCTCCAGAAATCCTAGACATCAGATTCCGCATCATGTAATAGTTTCCCTTTTCTCCAGTATCCCTATATACGTGCATATTATACCCCTATTTGCCCTACTAAATAAGAGTAATAGTATAGCAGTAACAATAAATATAAGAATAGTAAGAATGGTAGTAATAGGTGAAAGTCACACCATCCTGGACTGGAGATATCTCCTCTAGATCAGCGTGTTCCCAGAATCGCTGAACTTCGCGTTGGATGGCTTCGAAGTGAGCATTGAAGCGCATGGCCAATGAGAGGTCGCCTAGTTTGATTGCAAAGGTCTACAAAATTTGACTGCAGCATGAGGTTGTGTTTGAAGCTCCAGCTTTTTTTTGTAGCGCGAAACTTTCCATGAGGAATGACCACGGCTTCGTCAGCTCATATCCCTACAGATGACTGCATCGCTGCGAAATCTACCAAGGACGCTCGTGCAACACCAGCCCACAACCATGCATTACATTATTACTTTCATTACATTTCTAATCACTATTACCATTACTATTACTACTGTTATTCCGACTTTCAGAGATGTGTTGAAAATAAACCTCGTCGCAGGCATACTGCTCATACCCAGGCTTGCGCTCTGAAAATCAGAAGCACATGGAGCAGAAGGGAGGCCCTGCAAAATGATAGAAGCCTCGTCTCAAGGATGCAGAACTTGGCAAATCGGAGAATATAGTCCCCCTCAAGTAGATAGAATATAGGGTGTATGGGGATCCTATTATAATATACCCAAAGCCATACTATCAGTATTCTATCTACTTAAGGGGGACTATACATTCCAGAGGCCTGGGACGGCTTTGCGGCAGCCGCGATCAGAAATCTCAAGGACTCCAAGCGTGCTGCCGCCTAAAAGATGCCTGACAGTCCGGCTTCTTACTGGGGGCTAGTAAGGAATACGGGAATAGAATATACAGGGATTATCAAGGGATCATATCCCCTTATTCTCTTCTAACAACCAGTAAGGTTTGGAGCCAGAATCCTCATCATCAGCATCAAAAGGCTCTCATTTCCATGTGTGGAAGGTGTCCCCTCAAAACCCTCCCCCTGCCGCTTAGCCCAAAACACCATGAACTGGAACCAGATTCAGCCCTCTCTGCACGAATTGGCAAATCTGGGGCTTAAAACGGAAGCTCGGGCAGCTTCGGGAACTCTTTGCCAAGATGCAGGACAAACTCAAAAGCTGATCGCTGCCAAGCGGCAGTTATCGACGCACCACACCTTGCTTCCAAGGTATGTGTTCTAGTTTGGCGGGGCCTATTACTTGCAGTTGGGAACTGATGAAATCTCAGGCTTTTAGCATGTGTAGAATGAACATCAGGTGCTGCAGCCTTGACTAAATCGGGATCACTCAGAGGCGAGACCTTCCCTTCCTGGTTGAAGTGTTGTGCTTGGCCCTGTGATGCTGACCATAAGCTTCTGCTCAACAGTCAACTCTTGGGGAACACGAAGGAAGAAGGAATCTTTCCCGACCAAAGTGTTGGCCATTCATGCAACTGTGCAAGGAACCTAGAAAGTAACAGGTATAACCTGGGTACTGCTCACGCCTTGTAACAGTCTACATTAGAATTCGTAATACGGGCTATGTATCAATATAACACCTATATTGTCCCACTGTTACAAAGTGGGGGAGCAGTACCCAAGGTCTAACCACACATCGGTTATGACAGCTAACTTTCGGCAAAGACACTGGCTTTGCTGTCAATCCCGGGTGATACCACCTCAGCACAGAGCATGCATGAAGCATCGACAAAGCCATGTCCAGATCGGAACAAACCCATCAGCTCGTGAGATGAACTGCTTACAGCCAACTAACAGATATGTATATATGTATATATACATATATACGTATGTACATACATATATATATATATTAATATATACGTCCCTTCAGTATATGAGCCTTTATCTCGCAATGTTCACGTAATGTTCCATTTGATTCTCCAGTATCTTCCAAACAAACATACGGAAAAGAAATGGAAAATGAACGGGGAAACTGGGTTAAGCGCCTGCTAGCCTACCTTGTTGAAGTAACGAAAACTAAGTTTCCTCAACGAGCTCCAGGCAAAATGAATGTCCTGAACCAGCATACGGCATACGGGGGATTGAACAGAGCTGTTACCGCGGATTCATCTCAGTTCCCCAAAACTGACCTTCATGACTTAAGCGGCTGCAGGAGGCTCCTGGTAGCCAAGTCATGCCGAAGTATATGCTTTGAGGATGGGGAGGAACATTGAAAGATCAGATTCGAAGCTTTATATGCCACATTCATCAGAATCGTCAGCAACCTACTCCTTGCCCTGAACCCGAAGGCATGGACTCATGCTATGCATCTGCAAGCCTCTGTTCAGACACCCTGTTGTCACAAGGAAAATTACAGACTAGCACGTCAAGGACCCCATGTGTTCACGGCATTTGCATGTGAAATTGGAAAAGTGGACAAGACCTGTAACCTCACTCATCATCCTGAAAGGCAGGATCTCTCATTGCAAGATACAGTGGGCCGATCATTCCCTGAATTGCAATCGGAATGGGGATGCTCACCCGAGCCCTCAAGATCTCCTGCGATGATTGTTCCCCAGTGCTTGTAGCAGCAATGGCCACTTCGCCTGCAACCAAAAAGCTCCGACGCCACGATGGACTGAACAGCAGTCAAGGACAAGCGTGGATGCGCTTCCCGAATCGCTCCTCCGGATCTGCCAGTCTAAGGGTCCAAGGACCCAAATAGGGATTACATAGGGATAATGGAAAAGAAAATGGAAACTACTATTTAGGGTTTAGGGTTTAGGGTCCAAGTACCCAAATATTAGGGTTTTAGGTCCCAAATGCCATTCAGATTATAGTATTTGGGCCCTAAAACACCATTCTTTGGGCCCTTGGACCCTCAGGGTATGGGATTTCATGCTTTGGAGGTGTGCTTCAAAGAAGAACTAGTGGAGTGATTTAGGCCGAGCGGTCCATAGGTTGGGCAGCTTCTGGCCGGAACTTAAAAGGTAGTCAACAGATATTTGCCATGTTCAGCTGCTTTCAGCACGAGCCAAACTGACCAAGCCCTCTGGGGTCCCACGTAGTAGTTGTGGCTCTTGATGCTGTGGAGGTTGCCGGGGCGTGGAAGCACCGACTCGAGGCACGTCGCTCCCTGGCCGTAGCTTAGGTTTTAGCATAGGTTTGATTATGGAAGGAACCAGGATGCATCAGGATAGCTGAGGGTCCCGGGTTTGGAGTCCAATTTCGGGGTGTTGAGGAGGGCCTTCTTTCAATGACAGATGCTTCCTCTAACTACTTTTTGGCTGATCCTGTAACAAAGTCATGGTATTCTGAACATGTATAGAAGTCCAGGGCTACGAAGGTTTGAAAACTTGCCTCATCAGGTGGCTCCTTGAGATCAAGGCCATAATAGGATTGCATCTTCTTCTCCAGCTCCAGTGTCACCTCCGGGGCAAGGGGTGCAGTGGTTCACGGTGGGGCTGGCAACACGCTTGCTTTGTCCTTTAACTACTGCGCACACAAAGGCCAGAGTCGTGACAACATACTATCACAAGCTGGGCAAATGTATGGTTGGCTTGGGAAACAGTGACCAAACTACATCCCATTCGAGACAAGTCCCACACAGCCTGGAAGATCAGCGCGACATCTCGCAGGACGGCCTGTGAATTCCTGCAGGGGGCTTGCGTGCGCAAGTGCGCAATGAAGAACGCTGCGGTGTGGTGCGATAGGGTCTGCATACTTGGAGGTTCATGGGACATAGTAACTATTTACAACTGAAGTTATAACCCTACTTCTAATTCGGCTAACCCCTTTAAGGCCATTTAGGGGGGTTATAAGTAGAATATAAGCCCAGTTATAAGTAGTTACTATTTCCCATGAACCTTCAAGTGCAGTTGGGTAGCCTGAATCTTCACTATTCACTCCCCTATACTTTCACGCAGCCCTGATTCGTGAGAGGAAGCCTGGAGGCCCCAACAAAACCCTCTCCGCAAAAGAGGAAGGAGGGTTTAGGGTTTAGGGTTTAACAAAACCCTCCCCTTCACCTGGCCATACGAGTACATCATCCTCCTGCCATCCTAAACTCAGAAGTCAAAACACAAATGAGTGTTTCCCAAAATTAAGGGCACCTTTTTGGGGGTCCCTAGAATAAGGATGATGGTATATTGGGGGCTATATTGGGGTCCCCTTGTTTTGGGTAATTACCAAATACCTAAACCCCCAAACCCCTAAAACCCTCAAACCATCCCAAAACGCTCCGGTACTTCCGCAGGTTCACCAGCTCTCGCAATGCAGCTGACGCTGAGAGGCAAGTGTCGTCGTTCCTGCCAAGCTTTGGGATCTGGTCTACTAATGTAGGGGCCTAAAAATGGTATGTAGGGATATATTGAGGGGTAGGGTTTAGGGAAGAAGTATGTAGGAATATGTTGGGGGTTTAGGGTTAAGGGATTAATCGGAATAAGTATGTATGAATATATTGGGTGTTTTAGGTTTAGGGAACAAGTATGTAGTGATATATTGGGGAATGGATGGAAAAGGAAATGGAAACTACAATTGGGGGTTAAGTGCCCAGCGATATTACCCCCGATAATGGAGAATAGAACCGAAAAGAAACCGGAAAGTTTTGAAACTGGGCTTGTGACAGGGGCTTGTAGGGATTAGCCTAATACTTCCCAAGATCATTTTAAAGTCTATGTGAGGGACCCCTACCATTATCATACAAGGTAACTAGGACCATAAAATTGGTAACGACTCGAGTTTTCACAGTACATACTCCCACATTAAGCACTACAGAAACCCAGTTTACAGCTGACGTTCCATTTTCTGTTCCAGTAGATTCTCCGCTATTGGCGGGAACATCGCTAAACCCTAAAGCCTACATAGTAGTATCTAGGTCATTGATGAGCGCATCTGTCATAAGTCATGGTGGATCTTGAGCGAAGCTGGAGAGTCCAGGGTCCAGACCAATCAGTTGTCGGCAGCGGGCGCTGCTTCAACAACGTCGGCTTACAAATTATCTAAGGGATGAGCTTTGCGCGCAAGATTCAGGGAGGTAGGAGCATGACATGAGCCATCATCTGAACTCCTAGCATCCCCTTTAAACAACCCTATAACACTCCCATATATATTCCCCTCCATAACCCCCCTGTAAGGAGTTAAGACTAGAGCTCATGTGAAACTCTTGTTGGGGAATAGCAATCCTGACCCTTAATCTGCCAAGTTGGCGTCCCCCAAAAGTATGTCCCGGTCCATGGACTGTAGCGCACACCTGTACCTGCGTCCATGAAAAATATATACCCATTATCATGATGACTTAACTTAAGCGGTAGTTTCCCAAAATAGAGGTACCCCAACATAACACCCAAAATACTACTATCATCCTTGACATAGGACCCTTATTTGGGGAAACCCTCAGCCCCGAACCCTATATGTCCCTAGAAAACCCCTACAGAGCCCCTAGGTCCCCCTTTCAAGGTACCCTCGAACCATGGTGGCGCTGCCTTGATGCATTTGCCCAGACATGGTGCATCCAGGCAAAGCATACGGAAAGCCACAAGGCCATCCAAGCCATGGCGAGAATCACAGAGACAACATGGCGTTTTGGGTTTAGGGTTTAGTGGTTTAGGGCTTAGTGCCGATGTCTTCCATTCAACTGCTCATCTCGTTCCAGTGCTGTCCCAAGTCAGTTTGCTGAAAACAAACTTGCACCAAAACTGCTGCCAGGACAGGAATCAGAACGTAAACATGGAGTAAGCAATGTTATTCAAGCTTGTGTAACAAATTCATACCCACTGTAAATTGCACAGTACAGCCCACCAATCACACGGCTACAAATATGCCCACCACATTCGCAGCTGTGCAAGGGCTGGCAATGAGGGATGAAATATACAAGGCACTTGGCTGCTTTTGGCTCACACGCATTGGAGCCTAAGACCCATGTGGCTGATGTACTTGAATGAAACCTATGATGTATGGGGATGCAGCAAGCCAAGACGTTCAAGATCATCTTGATTTGGAGACATCTACACAGTAGTACTTAGCTGTGAGGCTGGAAGTAAAGTTCTCTATGTGTCAGAGGAACAAATTTCACATCGTCGGGAGTACAGTCACCGACGCTACAAGTGCCACCCGACGACCTCTCAAAGGTCAACGGAACGGCCAGCACGCGAGCATGGCTAGGCCGCATCACTCCTTGTACCACTTGCGTGCGTGAGCTGCATAAGTCTCGGGCGAAACAGCCTAGAGCAGGGTTTGAAACTTGAAGCTCACCATGTCGCTTGCAGTGTCACGACTGCTATTTCTTCACCTTCAATATGTCGTGGCTACTGCATCTCTATGCAGCTGTTTCCGCTGTCGTTGTTGCCGCAACATGATCGCAATCACAGAATTGCACGTACTGGAACCAATGGCAGCAGCAGCAGCAGCAACAACAACAACAACAACAGCAGCTGCTGCTGCTTCTTACTAGCTACCACTACTACTGGCGACGATGAACAACACCACAACAACTGATACTACTAGTCCGACGACGACGACGACGACGACGACGACGACGACGACATCTACATATACATCTGTGATGGCCACGACTACTACAACGAAGAACAACTGCTGCATTGCTGCTGCTACTCCTACTCGCGGCTGCAACTAGCTGCCGCCGGAAACCCCAAAACCACCACAACAACATCCACCCACCCACCCACCCACCCACCCACCCACCCACATACACCCATACCCACCCAACCAACCAAGCCCGAGGACAATGACAAATAAGACGACCATGACAGAGGAGGAGACGACAACGACAGTCAACGCGACTACAATATCAATGATTTCGGTCTTGAGTTTCAGCATTTCGGGATCTTCTTTCTTCTTTCAACCTAGCAGCTGGCGCACAGACCCCAAGCCCAGCGCCTCAACGACGATGGGCATGAAGCCGTGAAGAGTGCCGCAGAGTTCTGAACATTGACCTGTCTGCCAGACTATGTAAGGGCTTCTGTGTCGTTAACAAGGGCCTCAATAAAAAGACCTCTAAACACATGTACATTCATATGTCAGCGCTTTTTGGTGGATCCCATCATTCCCACCTCACAACATCCCATGAGTAAGAGATAGCATCTTTGGACGGCAAACTTGGATGGGGCTGAGTCAGGTGCCATAGAACACGCCTTCTCGCTGGATGAAGGTATTGATACCTGGAAGGTTGCTTCATCAACTTGCAATCAGACTGTTTGTGGTAGCGTGCCTATCATTGCGCAGTGATGCCAGGGGTTGATACTTTACTCCTGTCATGCCACGATGTGATCATGCAGCTTGAGATCGCTATCCTGGTTCGTAGAAGGACCTAGATGGACCCTGGCAGACAAATGTGTGCAGCTTCTGGCTGATCAATTCAAGGCATCACATGTATCAGCGGAAGTGCGGTGATCATGTCCAAAAGCACTTTTCCGTGCATCTTTTGGCTTGTTCCTTCGCTGTCGGTCATACTCAACCCGCTTTGTCCAGTGGTACTCACAAACACGCTGGCCTTCCTTGCGCGGCCGTCTGCAGCGCCAGGAGTTGCCGTCGGAGTAAACGCACCGAGCCTCATCCGAAAGCTGTGAAAGCTGTGGCTTGCTGGGCCGGGTCAGGGCACCGGAGTCTGCCTTGAACTCCTTGGACTCATTCGGCTTCAGACTCATGCGAAAGCGTGGCCGCTTTGGCCCAGCGCGGTCCAAAGAGCAGGAGTGCTTCTCGCAGCGGATCCCAGCTTCAGCATGAGCATCAGAATGTTTTACACGCCTAACAGGCCGAGCCGAGCAGCCAGGAATGTTGCAAGTCTTCCCTCCATGGATCCAACATCGGCGGCCTGCAGGGCCAAGAATGTCCGTCTGGACACGGCCCCAAGCTATCTTGGTGCAGCCTGGAACTGAGCATCCAAACCCATGCCTCCTGCAGCGGTAGCCAGCTTGGCCCCAAATATCTGGAGCGCGGACACGGCCAATGGGCAAGTAGTGACAGTTGGCAACTGTACACCTGCACCCGGGACAGTGGGCAAGACAGCGACGTCCGGAGAGGCCGAATTCATCTGGCAGGTAAACCCGAACACGCGCAAACCGAAAACATCCATCAACCTCACAACTCCGAGCACCATGGGTGATGCAGCGACCTCCGGCTACTCCAAAAAGATCCTTCACAGAAACAGAGCCACTCCTCAACCGGTTGCAGCCATCGACGTTGCAGAGGAGCTTTGGGCCATGGAGTCGACATCTCCATCCGGAGGGGCCCAGCGCATCCACCGTCAGCTGCACTTGATGACCTTTTCGGGTGCAACCCTTGGCAGTACACAGGAGCGGCTTTGGTCTCTGGGGCGTTCCAACACACCGGCTTCCTCGAACGAGACCATGATGCACCCAGCGACCCATCTCCCTCCAAGCATCAGGCATGGGCTTTTTGCTACGTGCTAATCCGGTCAAAATGTCATGGCAAAATCGCAAAGCTTGTCTAATCGCATGCCGCACTCTGATGTGTCCGAGGTCCAGGCGGCTAAGACTTCTGCTTGCAAGACGCACTAGAAGAATCTCTTGGCGCTGGAGGAAGCTGAAAAAGGAAAGGCTGGCTTGTCCAGAACTCTCTGCAAACCAGAGCTGTGCCTCGAGGCAGACTTTCACTCCAGCCACACAGCACAGTAGCAAATGGCACATGAACGCGCCATTGTCATTGCCAGTAGCTTCCTCAATGCTCCTTTCCAAGCTGCGGCTGCAAAAAGACGCTTCACACACATTCTGCTCCAAGATAGGGCGCTTCCAGGCATCAACAGCTGAAATGATGGTCAGACATTCAGGCTGAGTCGCGCCCCGAACGAGTGCTGCAGCTTCTGAGACGTGCTGGATTGCTCCAGTACCTTGAGCCCTTGGCCTTGACTGCACCCAAGGGGAGGCAGTTCTTTCAAACTGTTCGGACTTTGAGGCCTCGCTCTCAAAGCCGGCCCTCCTGACACACCGGGCTCTGCCCTCTGCAGCAAAGGTGCCCGGGCCTTGCGCAACTTGGAAGCTCACCAGTGCCTCTGGAAACTGGACTGGGCTACACCTAGTTTGCAGGATAGCCGGATCCACCTCAAGGGTTGGAGCCCAGAAGTACTCTTCCACAGGAGTCTGCGCCAGAATACGCTGAACCCGTATTCCGCAAGGTAAGATCTCCCAAACACGGCCCAGAAGCATGCCCGCTTTTGCGGGGCTGTCCCGAGACAGCTGGCTTGAACCAAAATCTCTTGCTCCACAGGCCGAGTCGTAATCCCAGCATAGGTCGAATTCCAGCACTCTCTGAATGCTTCTTGCTAGATCCCATGTGAAGCTGTCACACAACACAGGAAAGCAACATGACATCCCAGTTACACACCGCCAGTCATCTCCCATTCAGAAACACATGACCAAAAAAGTCAGAATGTCGCGCACGGTTGATGCGGCCAGGAGTGGCATCCGTCTTCAAACCCAAGGAGGGGATGGAGAAGGAGTGAATGACATCCTGACTTATAGGCTTATATGGGAGTTTTTTGTGAAGCTTCCGGGGCTGGGTGTTGATGAATGCAACTGCCGGCCAGGTTCTTTAGGGTTGCAGTTGCCCCACAATTTCAAGTTCTAAGGTGTAAACCCGAGGTACGGTATGCAAGCCCCTGCACCTACAAGAAGAGAATCCCTACAAAGGACAAGCAAAATGATAGTTTAGGGTTTAGGATCTAGGATTTAGGGTTCACGATGTATCAACAACTATCAAGATCGGGGTCTTTCCATGAGTGGAGAAATCGTGCACCATTTGAGGACCGCACAACAGCGAAACTCCCAGCGTACAGGGTACATTAGTTGGTGCCAGATTTCCTCATCAACTGTATCCTCATCTAACCCTAGACCCTATAGTCCTAAATAACCCCCAAAACTGTTATCCCCCTAGACCTATAAAAAAAGTATCATGTCTAATAATTCCTCAGCATTATACTGTACGAACACCGAAGATGATTCCTAAGGAGATCAAACCCAATCTCCCCGATATTCAATGTCCAGTGTTTCTTCTGGGGTTTGGTTAGCTGGGAATGAAGGAATGGAAAAAGAAAATGGAAACTACTATCATGGCCCTAAACCCTAAACCCTAAAGCCTAAACCCTAAACCCTAAACCCCAAACCCCAAACCCTACCCTATAATGGGTTGTATAAGGACTACTATAAGGATCCATTCCTTCATTCCCTTAGTCTTCGGTCACATCAAGGTGACAGTCGGGGCCAGGCCCAAGTTACTTTGGACCGTCTTAGGGTTTGGGGTTTTGGGGTTTGGGGTTTAGGGTTTAGGGTTTGGGGTTTAGGGTTTAGGGTTTGGGTTTGGGGCTATGGGGTTTAGTGTTTAGGATTTAGGGTTGGAGGTTTGGGTTTAGGGCAAGCGGGGTTCCCAAAACCATCAAGGACCCTTTTCGTGATCACACTGTATTGGGGTCTAGATTGGGGGCCCCTGTAATTATGGAAACTCCTGGACGGCGCCCAAACCAGAAACACCAACTAGGCCGCCTGAACCCTAAACCCTAAACTCTAAACCCTAAACCCTAAACTTAGACCCCACTTCCTGGCCAAAAGACCACCCCGGGTGAAGCTCCGGTATCTGACTTCACTGCCCAAACAAGGGCCCAATCACTGGCTTGCTGTTGAAGCATTGAAATTAAGTAACCATAACCTACTGGTTCTTGGTAGAGAATAAGGGAATATAGTATGTAGGGTGATATTCCTTTATTCCCTTCTAAGAACCAGTAAGATAAGAAAACTTCCATTACTTGCCATATCTCAGCATTGTTATGGGAAACTCCCTAGGAGCGACCCAGAAGACGCTTGTCCTGGCCAGTCACAAGGAATCGGATGTGCGTGCGTGTTGGCAGCGTCAGTCTCTTGTCGACCTGCAACAAGCTGCCAATGGCTGCTGAAAGAGGAGCTCGAACGGATACCACACAGAGTAGGGTCACTGGGCCTGAGATACTCAACTCTAATCTCTTGGAATGACATTTACAGTAGCACAGAAGATGCAAAATTTGACAGAAGCCACATAAAGAAAACTTTGGAGGAATGGTAGTTTCCCAAAGTAAGGGGACCCCAATATAGACCCCAAAATACTATAATCCTTATTATAGGGACCCCCAAAAGGGTACCCCTAATGTTAGGAAACCCCCGAATAGTGCTAACTCCGTCCAACACACCCTCGACTTGGGGCACCCGTTCTTAAGCTCTTTGGCCTCAGGATGGCACTGGCTCCAGCATATGAAGCAAGGGATCATTGTGGTCTAGGAGTCCCTAAAGGATCCAAAAAATGGAACCCCCTAATAATCCCCTAGTTACCCCAATGTAGTAATGGGATCATATTGGGGGGGTTCCATTTTTTGGATCCTTTAGGGGGTCTGGGGTCTAGGAGTCAAAAACTCTGCAGTTTACTGGGCCGCTGCTAAAGAACTTGAACTGAGTTATCATGATAAGGAAGCCCCATTATGTGGTATGTACCCAATTACTGTAACTTGATTAAACCTGAAACCCTAAACGCTGCACCTCAAACCCTAAACCTCTAAACCTGAAACACTGAACCCCTAAACCCTAAACCCCTAAACCCTCAAACCCGAAACCCTTAAGTTCCTCAACGGCCGCCCAGCTTGTCCTGGCCTCCAATCCGCTGCACATACCAGCCTTCAGGTCCTGCGCAGAAGATTCATTCCCAGACCCCCTAAAGGATCCAAAAAATGGAACCCCTTAAAGGGGTTTATAGGGGTCTATATAGGGGTACATAGGGTTTAG